AATTGAAATTAGTTCAAATTTATCATCTTATCTAATTGAGCTTAATCTCAAAAGCTATTTTCTAAGCTAAATTTGAACAAGCTTAGCATATACATGTGATTAAGTTTATGATTAAGACTTCATTTAAGATGATTTTTTTATTGCTTCTTAAAGCTATTTTTTAATAAAAAAAATAAAAATTTTGTATTACAAAGCTGCTTTAAGAAGCAATAAGAAATCTGTCTCAAACGAAGTCAAAACTTACTTAAAAACTCAAAAAAGATTAACACCATCAAATAGAAAGTCACATTAATCATTAATCAATACTAAAGAGAAATTTCAATTCAGTGAGTGCACATTCAAGTGCATTTTTTCACCCACTATCTTTTTTTTTTACATCTCGGTTTAACTTTTTATTACACTATGACATTTGTCGTTCATTTATCACAATATTTTCTGAGCGATCAATATCAAATTTTGAAGAGCACCATTCATCCACTCATATTAGATATTAAACCACTCATTAGAATTTTCAATTAGTTACAAATCATACCACATATATGCAATTCTTCTACAGTAAAAACTTTTTTTTTTTATCAATCTACCCTATTTCATCAAATCTTTGATAGTTTTTGTTGGGGAAGTATAAAACCCTAAACAAAAACATACAAGAAAAAATAATAATAAAAAACGAGAGTACATAAGAATTTATTGTGAAAAATACTTGAAACTGGAAAAAAATCACGGGCTTCATCACACTAAGAAATTCATTATGAAAATGGAGAGAAATTATACTGATTTCACTTCTCACACTCTCTTATTTCTCTTTACTTCTCTCACACTTCTTCTCTTAAAATTGACAAAGAGACATACTTTTATCTTATCAAGCTGGGACGCAACTCTTCAAGAAAGCACGAAGAATAGAAAGAAAATTGATTAGTCCAACTCCCAATGCCTGCAGCTTATAATGCAATGTTGTGGTCTCTGTCTCCCGGCCAAACTTGGAATGTTGTAGCGCTTAGCATATAGCACTATGATGCTTGTATGTGAAATGAAAAAAAAAAAAAGAATCGGGAGCAAGCAGGGGGAATATTGCCCCTTTGTAACCCCCTGACAAGCTCGATCGATTTAATTGATATTTGAGTCGATAGTACAACCTGATTGATCAACACAATCATATATTCATATATTTTTTCCAAAATAAAATCCGTATATTCATATTCCACAGAAAACTAACAGTTTTTTGGGCTGACTCAGGTCCGGCTTAAAGTTTAAAAAAATCTAATATAATTATATACAATACAAATATTTTATCTTTAAATTCTCCCAAAATCATTTCATGCTCCTTCTCATATTACAATCCTAAAATTGCAAAAAACAGAAGATGCTTGTTTGACATTTTCAGATTGGCATGCCTTCCTTCATTACTCAGAAATAAACCAAGCAAAGCTTAGATTCTATAAATTATAAAAAAATAGAAGTTCTTGGTGGAATATTTCAAGTGCAGTAGTCATAGTGGGCGAGATGATAGACAAGCCGCAAATCCAACGAAAGGTCTCTCGATCTTCAGTACCAAAAAAATTATAGCTGTCATGTAATGGAGAAATTATTAGGTACGAAGTGCGGACGGGAGAACCGTCTGCACACTAGTATAAAACAGTGTTCGGTACCGTTCGGTACCACTCGGTACCGCTGGGTACCGCTCGGTACTCTGTGTCTGTGCAGACGGTTCTCACCCCGTCTGCACTCCGCACCTAATAATTTTTCCATGTAATGAAGGATGATAAAGATATGGATTATTTATAAGAGAAGCATGATGAGATTTCTTCTATTGTAATCATGCCATTCTCAATAAATAAAGATGAGAGAATCACCGATCAGTCTCACATATTATGATGATGATCTCCTCAAACTTTAGGCATTATGTGAAGAGATATTTTAATTAAATTTGAAATTATGATTGCTAATTTTTTTTAATTAATTTTTGGCTGAATTTGAATTTGATGAGTGGATCAAAATGATAAATTTTAAAATATGAAAATGGACCTCATTTATGGTTGTTAAGGAAAAGCAAAATTCAGTTTAAATATGGCATATTTCTTTCAGGTTTGCAAGTATTAATATTAAATATAACATATTTTAATATGTTATAATTTAAGTAGCTTAATATTATTATTATCTTCTAATAATAACATGATAACAGAATTATCATCAAATAATAATAATAATAATAATAATAATGGTTAGGAGTAATATAAACAACTTGAAAATAATGGAGAATTTGTACAGATCTTTCACTCATCTTTCTCCTTAGTCTTTAAACTCTCTCATACCTCAAAATTATGATGTTTCATATGAATGTTGCAACCTCTGTTTTTTTTGTTTATGTGCTGGATTTTCGTATAAAGTTAGGATGCTAAATTTTATATCTTTACCGTCGCAAATTTTTCAAGACGCAACAATAATATTAATAAAATTTAACTTACATTATTATGATTAAAATTTTAATTTTGGAATAAAATAAATTTTAAAAATATGATATAAATTTTGATTTTTCTTATATATTGCACTTATCTAAAAAAATCAAATGATTATGAAATCTGGTCTTATATGTTATGATCAAAATTTTTTTAATAATATTAGTCATGTGTTTATAAAAACTTTAATTGTCTATATGATTTTTATACCAATAGTACGAGTGTTCTATACTTAGGATTTATTTGTGACGGCTGCATTTAAAAAGTGATTATGAAGTTGTTGTAGGGATAGTGAAATTTCTAAAAATAGATGATAAAACTAAATGAAACGGTAAGCCAAAAAAATTATAATTACTGTCTGAAAAATATAGAAGCTAGAAAGTTATTCCAAACATATCCTCAATGCACATATTTTTTAAATTTTTTATTTTGCCTTTAATAAGTATTCAATTTTTTTTGTCTTTTATTTTCAAATAAAAGATTATGAATTTAAATATCTTCAAAAATTAATTTAAATAACTTTAATATTTTATAATTTGCTTTTTAATATAACTATAAAATATATTAATATTTATTATAAGTTTTAATCAAATATTAGATTTTAATTTTATATATTGTGCATGATAACTTTAAGAGAATCGTCTTAGTAGCAAATATGACAAAATATCTGTCATAAATTTTGTCCCTCTGCTTTATTCCATTCCACCCAAGTCACTTCATTAGAAATTAGAATAAATGGAATAATTTTCAGAATAGGGTATGCTATAGAAATAAAAAGTGCCACCAGGCTCCTTTATTGATTACTTCATTTAAATGTTTATACATCAGCTCACATGCTGCCAAATATTTAGAAATTATTACGTGTGGAGTTTTGTATATAGCTCATATTTAAGAGAAATTATTTTGTGTGGAGTCTAGAAGTAATACTTTATTTTGACTCTAATAAAATTACGACACCTCGATTATAAACGAGGATAATCATTTCTATTTCACATTTAGTTTTTTTTTCTTGCCAGCCCGACTGATCCGATCCATAAATTTTCTGTTCAAATATTAGGGTTTAGGATTGAAGTTCTTTTTTAAAATGAAATACCTCAAAAATTCCGTATTTTTTAAAATTTTAGTGTAAGAAATTTTTCATAGCTGTTGAGAAAAAAGAAACGAGGAAAATCCAATGAAGAAGAAGACTGATTTAGAGGAGTAAAAATAGATGAAGATGAAGAATGGTTTGGAAGAGGAAAAGTCGATAAAGATGAACAATGTTTTGGAGGAAAATCCGATGATGATAGTTTTTTTATGTACATAGCAATACACCTTGATCGATTATTTTCAAACGAGGATAAGCCAAAGTGTACAGAATTTTTCGCAGTATTTTATCTAAAAAAAGTGCCAATCCTAAACCCTAATATTTGAACATGAAATTTCAGGGCCGGGTCGGTCGGGCTAGAAGGGAAAAATTAAATGCGAAATAGAAATGAATATCTAAGTGTACAATCTAGGTGTCACGATTTTATTAGAGTCCGAACACAGCAACGTCCGCACTCCGCACAGAATAATTTCTCCATATTTGGACTCCAATGAGATTACAACATATCATATATAAATGACGTGACAAAATCTCATTGGAATCCGAATGTATCTGGACTCCGCACGTAATAATTTTATTAATTTATCCAAATTCTAATCTCTCATAAACTTAAAAAATATAGTTATTTACTTTAAAATAATTTTCCAAAAAAAAAAACTTTAAAATAAATATTTTATAATGTAATTTTCATTAGAATAATATGTTTTTTTTTTCATATAGTTAATTTAAATTTTAAATATTTTATTTTTTCCTAAAATATGTTATGATAGTACATGAAAATTAAATAGTTATGTATCCCATTTTAATTTCTTGGTAGGGAGTTCAGGTTTCCATCATTTTTTTTTTAAGTTTCAAGCATTACATATATGATGTGTGAATTTGGTCTTCTGTGTGCTGGTAGGACCTTTTCTGTCTCTTGTTAATGTTTCTGCTCCGAATACTATGAGCTTTTATGGTTTTTATATGCATAACATTATGGTTGCTCTGAAGGATCACCTGGAGATTGTTTTAGCTGGCAGGGCTTTTACTTATATTTTGGCGGCCATCAGGAAGTTTTTTATCTTGTTTTCATTATTATGATTACTGACTCGAACCACCTCTTTGGTTATAATTGCATAATTCGTATCTATTTATTTAATTCGCTTTTTCTGAGATTTCCTTGCAGGATTACTTCACGTAGCTTCATTGACCGCAAGGATTTTTGGGTTAGTTTTTCTCCTTTTGCTTTCAATTTTCTCCAATTTTTTTGCTGGAAGAATGAGCTGAACTGGACCAATCAGCTCTTCCTTTTTTGGGTGCTGTTTACTTGCAGCCCGAGTTTTACTTTATGTCTTTTTTGTATTATTAGAAAAAGGAACCATCGGCTCTTAGGTTTTATTTTCCAGTTTCTTGTAGTTCTTTTGAGCAGTAGCGAGCTGGAGGATCCTTCTAAGGATTTTGTAACCGGTTTTTTTATATTAACGCGTAGGCCCCAATGCGGGTTTTAAGCAAAAAAAAAAAATCCAACACTTCTGTCCTGGATGGCTTCTGCCCCTAGTAAGCTCCATTTCAGAAATTGTTTCCTTGCCTAAAATTCGTGCTTTAAGCCACCTTCTCCCAGGCTGCAGGAGCATAAATCCACTGATAAGAAACAAAATAAGAAATGGAGTAACGGTTATATTGGAAACGCGGGCACCTTGCAAAACCTAAGCTCTGGAAAACCTGTATTGGGTTTCACTCGCAACTCCCCTTTAAGCCCGTGCACGCCAGTAATGTAGCCCACTTCTATGAAGTTCAAACCACCCACCTCTTTTTCCTCTTCGACATCTTCCCCGACAGCTTTGGCGATGGCCCGATACCCTAATCAGTAAAGGTCAGGAAGGCAACAGCGAGAATAGATTGAACGCAATCGGGGGAGAAAATGTAGAACAGGAAGGAAAAATATCTACCAGTAGCACAAATAGGAGGTGCAAGATAACTCAGAGAACAGGAGTGGTCGGAAAGCGTTCCGGAGAAGTTACGAACGGAAGCTGCGGGCTTCGGCAAGAAGCTCCAGCGGCATGAGAGGAAGGAATACGGTGCGGAAGGAGAAGCTACAGAAGAGCGGAGCATTGGATTTCTAGCCGAACTGGAGATGCGAGGCTTGTAAAATGTAAATCGTGGGTGGAGAAATTATTGTGTACTTAATCCGAACACGTTCGGATGCTGCGTACTTACTGCTTATTTGTTGCGTATTTTTTGTGTATTTAATTTTTTCTACGTATTTTTTGCGTATTTATTGTGTATTTAGTGAGTATTTAGTGAGTATTATTTATTTGTTATTTTTTGGCACAAAAAAATTTTGTATAAAAAAATACGCAACAAATAAGCAGTAAATAAGCAGCATCTGAACACGTTCGGATTACGTACAGAATAATTTCTCCACCATAAGGGGGTTCCGCCCCTGTTTGTACAACTCTTTCTTTTGGATCATTGAAATTAGGAATTTACTTCAAATTTCCCAAAAAAAGAAAAAAAGGGCTAGAATCAAATATTATTAATCAAAAGAATTAAAATGATCTCTTAACTCTTTATGAATGATCAAAATGATAATCAACTCTATTAAATGTTCATTTTACTCCCTCAAATATTTAAAATTGAACTAAATAGTCTCATGATCATGGGCGGAACCATTGTTAATTTTCAGGAAGACAAATTTATAAGTAAAAGTGTAGAATTTAGCTCGACCCTTATTTGTTCATATCCTTAATCATTATACACTCCACCGTTAATAATACTTCACCGCCACCACCACCACCACAACAACAAAACTTTCTAAGCAATACACATAACATCGGTGAAAATATAGGAAGAAAAAGACACTCGTCTTTGTAGAAAATTCCTTTAAAGAGAAACAGCATCAATGGGGGAAGGAATGCACCTTTGCCTATGCGATAAAGAAAGAACTCTTTATCTTTTTCATAAATCGCAATCATGAATCTCAACAATACCCCAAAACTTTTTTTTTTCTTTTTCATTTTTGCATTTTTTTAGTTGGAATTTCATTTTTATTCACTGTCTTTAAAAGTTTTGTAAAGTTCTATTAGAGTAAGCACGCGCACGTGATTTCCTTCGAATGCATTTGGCATGAATTTTGAACAAAAATAAAACCTTTTTTTTTTAAATAATGTAATTACAAATTTTTTTCGTGTTGTAAAAAATGATTTAAAATTTATCTTTTGAATTTCTTAAAAAATATGTTCATCATTTATCGGATTCTTCATGTACAAATTTACTAAAAAAAGATGCAATTAAAATATTTGATAATACGAATAATAACCACAATTTTTAAGTGATTAAGATTTTATTTGGAACAACTTTATTATTATTTTTCTAAGGTAATTTTTTAGTAAAATTTTTTTTCAATTAAAAATTTTTGTACTAAAAGACTGCTTAAAATAACGAAGCTGCACATCATTTTATCTTTAAAAATCTTATTAAGTTTGAAGCACATGATTCTTCCTCTTCATAAATTCCTATTTTGTGCTTCTCAAAAAATGATCGGCTTCTATAATAAAATACTTATGTTGATATTATTGTTGTCTATATTATTATCAACGAGTTCAAGTCATGTGTATCCTTAGTAACATTGAAAATTTTGCTAACATCCTTTTGCTCAATCTTACTTAGAATATGAGACTTAGGCTTCGTTTGGGACGGCTTTTTGTTGGATTCTATAGGAAAAGATGTCAACTTGAAAGCTTTATTACTCTTGAAGTTAGTATGGAGAACCAAGATGTATATCAAATTAGACATTATAATTTTCTCATCACTTAAACTCTAATTACAACTACATTTTTGAAAGGCCTATTCTTAAATTTATAAATCTAATGGTGTCTATTTGGGCAAATTATTACATCCGATCACCGGACGCGTAGAATAGGTTCGGACATCCAATAAAAACATTTCACGTCACATACGCTTTTGACTGTGCTTTAGGTGCGCTTTGACTGCACTTTACTTGCGCTTTTGATTACGCTTTTGACTGCGTTTTATCTGCGCTTTACCTGCGCTTTTGACGCGCTTAATTTAAAATAATATTTTATTAATATCCGGACCTATCTCCACGTCCAGTGACCGGATGTAATAATTTGCCGTCTATTTGACACCAAATTATGAAGTTTCCATCTTGAAATAGTGTGTTCACCATGCCCCTACTACTCTTATTCTTATCACCAAGATTCATTAAGGAAATTAGTCCCTATAATTCATGTTTGTAGGATTAGATTTTTCATTAAGGCTACTCTAGAGAAATAAAAAAACTTAGTGAGCCTCACTTAAGCTCATATAGAGCTTCTTAAACTCAAATTGAGACCATTTTTCAACTTTAATCTTCTTTATTTGTATTTAATCTCGACCACACTGCATGACCTAATAATTTGTTATTTCCCTTAGTTGAGCTCCTTTATATGAGCATTTTGAGCCTATGAACACATGATTTACTGAAGGGACAATATATTATATCATTATTTAAAATTTAGGCTCTTATAATATGATTGAAAGGAAAAAAAATGATATGTTTTCAATTATATCTAATGTGTTATTGATATATAATAGAGATTATAATCTTCATTCTTTTTATAAAATTATAACATCATCCTTGATCCTTATTGAAAACACATGCTATAACGGGTCTTGCAATATCCCAATAGTTGGCGACATTGCATAAGATTTATCCCATTCAATAGCTAAAATTTCTAAGCCTAAGGATTTTAAGATTTTAAATAATTTCAAAGGTTTTACTACAATAACAATAACAACAACATCAAGCCTTTGTCCCACTACGTGGGGTCAGCTACATGAATCCTTTTTCTCCACTGTGTCATGTTAAAAGTCAAATTCTCGTTTAAATCTAACAAAAAAAGATCATTTCTAATATTTTCTAACCAAGCCTATTTAGGTCTACCTCTACGGCTCTACCTACAAAATTAACATATAAAATATATAATTAAAAAAATAAAATTAAAGTTGATCAAGTTTTTGGATTGAAATGTATTTCTAAAATAAAAACAATTAAACCTATTTTAAGACTTTATTAAAAATCATCTTGAAAATTATTCTAACTCTCAAAGACAAAGTGTTTATTACATCCCTCCCATTGCTAATTAAAAACTTCATCCTTCCTTTTGAAAACTCTCATCTATGTTAAATACTTTCTTCACCATAGAGTACTTGGAACACTTTCGCACTTCCTAACACTTTTCTCAAAGATTAATTATCCTCACAACTTTTCTTTGCCAAAGAAGAATTTGTACCACATTTCAAACAATATGACGCTCTTTATCATTTGTAATTATAAATCAACATATTTTCTTCTTGAGGGATCACTATAATACATGTTTTCTCTTGGCATAGCTCCTTTATGTGAGCATTTTAACCCTAAGAGCACATTTATTTACTGAAGGGATGAGAGAGAATGAGCTCTCTGAAGTTTCAAAGCTTACAAACTTATTCAAATGCAGGAAAAAGGATATGCTTGCAATATATCCAATGCGTTATTAATGGATGATAGAGATTTTGGTTTTGTTTGGAATGATTTTTTATATCCCGCCCTGCCCGCGTCCGTCGCGCACCCAAGTCCGCCGGTCGCCCGCATTTAGTTTTTTTTTTCTTGCCAGCCCGACTGATCCGATCCATAAATTTCTTGTTCAAATATTAGGGTTTAGGATTGACGTTCTTTTTTAAAATGAAATACCTCAAAAATTCCGTATTTTTTAAAATTTTAGAGCAAGAAATTTTTCATAGCCGTTGAGAAAGAAGAAACGAGGAAAATCCAATGAAAAAGAAGACTGATTCAGAAGAGGAAAAACAGATGAAGATGATGATTGATTTGGAAGAGGAAAAGTCGATAAAGATGAACAATGTTTTGGAGGAAAATCCGATGATGATAGTTTTTTTCTGTACATAGCAATACACCTTGGTCGATTATTTTCAAATGAGGATAAGCCAAAGTGTACAGAATTTTTCGCAGTATTTCATCTAAAAAAAGCGACAATCCTAAACCCTAATATTTTAACATGAAATTTCTGGGCCGGGTCGGTCGGGCTAGAAGGGAAAAACTAAATGCGAATAGAAATGAATATCTAAGTGTACAATCCAGGTGTCACGATTTTATTAGAGTCTGGACATAGCAACGTTCGCACTCCGCACAGAATAATTTCTCCATATATGAACTCCAATGAAATTACAACATATCATATATAAATAACGTGACAAAATCTCATTGGAGTCCGAATGTATCTGGACTCCGCACGTAATAATTTTATTAATTTATCCAAATTCTAATCTCTCATAAACTTAAAAAATAGAGTTATTTACTTTAAAATAATTTTCCAAAAAAAACTTTAAAATAAATATTTTATAATGTAATTTTCATTAGAATAATATGTTTTTTTCATATAGTTAATTTAAATTTTAAATATTTTATTTTTTCCTAAAATATGTTATGATAGTACATGAAAATTAAATAGTTTTGTATCCCATTTTAATTTCTTGGTAGAGAGTTTAGGTTTCCATCATTTTTTTAAGTTTCAAGCATTACATATATGATGAGTGAATTTGCCATTAAATTTTCTCACTTTCAAAATAAAAAAAATATTGATTTTTTTTTATCAAAAGTTAAAATATATATTAAAAACCAAATGAAACAGTACAGGAAAATACCCCTCCAATCAGAAACAACAAAAAACAAATGAAAAACAAACTAAGAACTAAAAGTTCCAAGCTAAAGGCGGGCTCAGTTCACCGTCGAAGCTTCCAGCGTCCAAGTCGTCCAGCACGGACCATCCAGCAAACAATAAA